TTTCAATTTTAATTATTTACTTTTTTTTCTCTCAAATTTTTCAAAAATTTTAATTTAAATAATAATTCTTTATATTCGTTATTGATTTAATTGATGAATGCTTTCTTTTTAAAATAAAATGAAAAGTAAAGTATTAGCATGAATAGATATGAGAAACAATTTTTTGACAATTATCAATGAATCAATATATACATGTACATTTGAGTACGCAACCTCAAAAAGTATACTGTATGATCGATTTGTTGAATTACTAATAATAGATGTTCCGCTATTAATCGATGAACATTTTAATTCATTTCCTGTATTCAAATCTTTAATTATGCATGGATCCATTGAATTAATCATTTTCATTCGTGTCTGAAATGAATTTCCTAACAAAAAAAAAAAAAAAAAATTTAATTTAGCTATAGATTCAGTTTAATTTTTCATGATTTTCTAAGCATAAACTCATTAACTGAAAATTAAACTAATTAAATTTGCCGTGCTTTGCTTAAAATGCATTTCTGGAAACAATTCATCTCATCATATATCTTTAGCATCTGCTAACTCTGTGATTTAATAAAATATGAATTTGTTGTAAAGAGAAAAGAAAAAAAAAAAAACTTCATGCTAGCAATCACAAACCGGATTATCAATTTTGCAAGTAAAATCAGGCGGTTTTCGATTCACAAAAATTATAACAAATATTGATATAGCATAAAAAAAATTGGTTAACTGGCATAATATATAGGAAATCATTTGATAACGTCCATAAGTACCAAATTCATTAAGCAATTTATTTGCATCCAATGATCTGTATGCTTCACTGAAATAAATATCAAATTCCACCACCACTAATGTTATCAACAGGAAAAAAAAAAAAAACCTGTTTCTTTTTATTATCAAAGAAATAATTAGCAAATGAATGATTTAATATTTTTAAATTCCTCTTCTGGAAAATATTAAGCAAATAGATTATTATTTTTAGATTCAAAACATTCTTTTTGAAAATATTAAACAAATGGATTATTATTTTCAGATTCAAGAGATTTCCCTCAAAGATGAATCTCTTGCAAGTTCCGGAAATAACTGGAAAGCATTTACTACTCATTTCTTGGAACTTTCAATTCTCGTTCCAATTCATCCGTCCATTCATCATCGTCTTCTCTTGGTAATGATGCTGCCAATAGCTTATATCTATCTGTGTAAAAAGGAAATAAAAGCTATGCAATCGATTGAAAGTACTAAAATTACTTTCTCGATGAATCTCAAAGTAAACCTCTTTGAGTTTTTCTTTCCAAAAAAAAAAAAAAAATTCCAACTGAAATCATTGGAAAGGAAAGAAAAAAAAAAACGAAATCATCCAAGCAATATAGAATTATGATACCTTTGATCATCGTTAGTATAAAATAAACGGAACTGCTATAATTTATCGAAAATATGAAATAATTAATAGATTTTTTTCACATAAACATTTTTGTATAAATTTGAAATTTGCAAAATATGCAAATTATGAACATTTGATGAAGTTATTAACTTTAAATGGTTGATTCATTCTTCTTCCGGCAAATATTCCAATTATCAGTTTAGGCCAATTTTTTTTTTTTTTTTTTTGGTAATTCGTACGCCAGTGATTCATTTTTCAATCCCTTCATCTTTTTTTTTTTTGCATTTTAAGGAATAGCATTAAAGTTGTCATAAAAATTTGCAGAATTAAATGTCGTAAATTTGCATGTAATTCATGTAATTTATAAAATGTAACCCAATTTCAGAATTGAAAGGAAAAATTCACCTAATAAATTTAGGGATAAAATTTCGAAAACGACGAGAAACCAATAGTTGAATTAGCGCAATTAGGTCAACTTAATCTCTCTAGCGAAATGTTACAAAAACCCACAGAAATTTCTGATTTGAAAGAAATGTGACGGACACATGGAAATGAAACTATTGAGAACAATGCAGCAAAGAAATGATTAAAAAAAAAAAATTGAATTAAAATTTCTCAACTGTTAATTTGATATGCATTTTATAATTGCAAATATATTTGAAAAATGTGTAGCTACAAGTTATTTCCACAAATTACAAAATGCATTGCAAAACTGAGATTTTCTAAAATTTAAATGTAACCTTGAAATACAATTTCCCTTATATGTTTCAGCACTTTTTATTTTACGGTGATTTATTTTCTCTACAAATTCATTTAACACATTAAATAAAAGATCAGAGGGTAACAGATACTGCTGATATGTGCTCAATAAAAAAAAAATGTCTTAGGCTTACTCAGTAATTTTTTCATGCAAAATTTTTGAACAAGCCATTTGTAAATTTTCCGTGCAAAACTTTGCCTAACGGATATATTATTTTTAATTGTTTGTTATCTGTCGAATGACTCATACAGGTAAATGCTGCACGTTATGAAACAAATTAATAATGTAAGCCAGGTAACAGTAGCCAAATTAAATGAGGTAACTGAAAATTTGAAACTGTTGGAGCTGAATAAGAAAAGATTCAAGAATGAATTATTATGAATAAAACATGCATGATGCACTGTGCAACGAAATCCAGAACTGCAAGTTTGCAAACTGCAAAATTCTGTTTTAGGAACGGAGTGCAGATGGTTTAAGCGCTTTCTGTGATAATTTCAAATGACATTTATGCATATCTTAGATATATATGCTAATTACTGCCATTTAAAGTATGCAGCAACTGAGCCTCTTATTTATTGGGTTTTTAGGATAGTTAGGCGGAATGTACAGTATACAGTCTTATCAACTGTGAACAGTTACTGATGCTATGATTGATGTTCATAATAAGCAATGCTTTGTGGCATGGAACTTATGCTTATTTAGTCACGGATCGAGGATTTTTCGATTTTCGGGAATAATGTTTAATCAGTAAGATTGTGATGTGTTAAAAAAGTGCTCTTTTCTTGTTAATGCTAATGCTTCATTTCTCTTAGCAAATGCCATCCTTTAAATTTCCGTTGCTTTTAATTTGAAAATCAGTCAGGGAATAATTATCAATTCAATCTTCAGCTTAGTCTTTGAAATTATCTATGAAGTAAAAAATAAAGAAAAAAAATTTGCGCTTTTCTATTTTGCAGCAATGAATAAATGAATGATTTGAGGTTTTGAACGAAAGGAAAAAGCATTCGAAAACTTTATGCTCTACTTGGTGTTTTTTGTTTTCACATTTTATACATGTCAAGCTAATTTCATTTTATTTAAAAAAAAATAGCAACTATTAAAAATATCATCAATAGAATTATTTTTAATCCTTAAAATATAATTCATTTCAAGGCTTACTTTTTTCTCAGTCTAATTTTCAACATTTATTAGTTTTAAGATAATGTCTAAATGTTGTCGAGAATAGATATATTTCGTATACACAAAGAAATCAATAGTCGAAGTATGTCAAGAATAAGTGAAAGAGGTCACAGGTCATAGGAACAGAGAACTAACAGTAGCATAAAGAATTGATAAATGCATCAAAGAGGACACGATGAGATAATATGGCAAACTATTAATAAACAATACTAATAGCCGCAACTAATTTCTTTCTTTTCCTAAATCTTCTTAGTGAAAATTGATGTAATAAATTTTAATTTCAAATAATTCAGTACAGTACGATTATTCAAAATATCCACTGCCTAATGAATTGAGTTATCCAATTAGGCAAATTATATTTAGATAGCTGGCAAATTTTGTTATCTGATTATTCAAATTTTTCGGTATTTTTTATTAGAGAAATTCCATTTAATTTAAATCAGACTTAAATCATCCTCAATGTTATCCCATCAAATTTTCCGCAATTAAATCGGAAAATTAATTAAACCGCAGCGAATGGAATGAGTATCTTATTGATTTCGTGACGGCACAAAGAGGCAGCGCAGAGAGAAAGAATTAAGTAATGGCTAAAAATAAAAAGATATATTATCAGTTGGAATTTTACATTTTTGAAATTTTCTCCCCGAGATTTCTGATAAGTGTTTCTCCCCGAGATTTCTGATAAGTGAGACATTCATGCAATAAAGCCAAGAAAGCAATGATGATCCTCTTCTTGTCCAATTCTTCACATGCTCCGTTATCATAGCAGCTCGTTGAGATGCAGGCGTATGGAAGAAAATAGTGCAGTTAGGATGAAGATTAGCGATAGAGGAAACATGTAGAACAGTATGGAGCAGGGATTGAAAGTAAGGATAGAGAAACAGAAGGACGGAAAGAGTTGTTAGAGTGAAACAGATTATGGCTATAGAGATGAGAGGAGAGATTATGGATAGTTGCTATAGCAATAACTGTTCAAAAAAAAAAAAACCAAAAATTCCATTATAACAAGGGAGACAATAGAGATAGTGAGAAAATTGATGAAATATATGCTAGCAAAGATGAAGAGTATTTTGCTAATAGAGATATAAAAAAGAAGTTTTTTTTTTTTCTCAAAAATTCGCGGTGAAAGGGTTTTGTTTTTTTTGTTTATTGCTGATGAATAGGTAAGAATAATTGATTGATGGTGATGAAATGTGGTACACGAAAGTATGACGGAATTTTCCGGTTACCGCGGAGATAAATTTCGCCGCAATATTTTGTTACATTTCATTTTTACTTAAAAAAAAAAAAAAAAAAAAACATTTCGCTTGCGTTGTATCCAAGGGAAATCATTACAACTTCAAAATCATTTCTTATGCATCATCTCGTACTGGCCATTTTCCGTATGACACGTACGTCATGTGCGCGTGTTTTTGAGCATTAATTACAAGCTAATCAATGGATAGCAAGAAATCATGTTTGTAAAAAACAAAAATAATAAATTTTAAATGAACAAATTTAATTGGTACATTTTGCTTGATTTTTAAAAATAAATTTTTATGATTTGCTGAACTGCGAAAAATTGCTTTTCTTAATTGCTACTGCTTTCATGGAATGATTATTTTGAGGCTCATTTGTGGACGAATGTGCGTAACGTTCGTTTATTTGAATGATAAAGCAATTGATGATCCGAAAAGTTATCAGTTGATTGTGTTAAATAATCGTGATGAGCTATTTGATCGGCCCACACTACCACCTGCTTGGAAGGATGGTATTTTATGTGGTAATAGTAATTTTTATTACTCTTCTAAGATGATCTTTTGCACAGAATTTTTCACTAGAAGTTAGCTTTTTCTTATACATTGAATTTATAATATATATGTGTAACCTGAATTTGATAGAAAAAAAACGAATTTTAATTTTTTATATTTTAGGTGTAAAATTTTAAGCGATTTGATTCATGTTCATTGTTATGATTTTTTCAAATTTTTTTGATTCACTTCTTATCAGTTATTGTAGGTCGAGATCAAGCAGATCCATATGGTGGCACTTGGTTAGGCATGACTAGGAATGGTCGTTTGGGAAATATTCTTGCAGTACTTGAAAATCCAACAGATGAAGTACCTTGTGCGATAACACGTGGTATTATTTTCACTTGTATGAAATGATTAGAAAGTAAAAATTTGGAAATTAATTTCAAATCTAATTTTGAAATCGAAACTTGATAATGCTTAAAAAGCCATCTAAAATTTTGTCTTAAAATAAAATTTTTAAATTTACTAAATATTTTTGATTATGAAATCGTATCAGGAAAAATCGTATACGAATATTTGAAATCCGAAATGGCACCAGAGAATTATGTGGCTGAGCAACTGTCGAAAGAAGCACAGCAGTACAACGGTTTCAATGTAATTCTATTTCATCGGTACGCAAAAAAAATATTTGGTGACCATTTCGAAGGCAGGCTCTGTGATAACAGTAAGATTACGTATTTAAATTTACTACAGTTATGTTATAATTCAATTTGGAGACATTCTTTGGTTTAGATTTTCATTTTTACCAATAATTAAATTTATCGACATTGGTAATAAGTCTAATAAGGAGTATTTAACCATCTTTTTTTTATAAATTTTCTTGAAAACCTTTTATTTCTTTTAAATGGCAAAATTAGTTTGTTTAACTTGATAGAAGATATCTGTATTAAGTAATTCCCACGAAAATATTTTTGCAGCCAAAAGCAAGATGAAAATAGCAAATGACAAAAAGGAAAAGTGGAAAATGAAATCAACAAATTTGTAAGAATCCTTGAATGAATTTCAAGTTATTGCAGCTAAAGTACGTTTTTTATAGGCTTTTTAATGAAGAAATTGAACGAAAAACATATTTTGGAGTTCAATTTTCTAACCGACATGACAGCCCGACTGCAACATTTAGCTCCGGTTAGTGTTTATTATCGAAATTTTTGGGCATAGTCATCGAAGATATGATCATACTGTTTATGTATGGATGTATGTGTGGGCTTTTTAATTTGTGTGTGTAAGATTCCGCATACTTTTGCGGATATTTAAAACCTTTTTTCTTTTTGCCCAGGCTTGTATCTTCAGACTATTGCAAAAATAAATGTATGGTTTCCCTGTAACAGATGTAAAATTTCCCCGTAACAGGGAGTAAGAATGACTTTCACACTCTTTTGATCTCAGAAATTAATCGATTGAATTAAAATGATTTGACATCATCTTGATTTTAAATTAAAATGGTTAAAATGAGATATAGATTGTGTGATGTTATTTTTTCCATTTTTTTTCTCGCATTGATTATCATTATTACCCACATTGTTATTATGAAATTTCATCTCTTAAGACTGTATCAGCTGAATAAGTCAAATCATCGTATCTCATCAAATTTTTTCAGTATTATCATTTTAGGCATTTATGGATTTGGAAATAATGTATTGGGAAAGCCGTTTAAAAAAATAACTTACGGTTTACGGTTGTTCAAAGAGAAGCTGAAAATTCTAGATGATGAGAATATTAACGAACAGGAACTTGTGAAGCAGTTCTTGGATATCCTTATTGATCAGACAAGGTAATAATATCTATTGTTTCGAATTTTTAATTTCTTTATGGCGTGGACTATGATAAAATTGCTTTTCTAAGGGGTATTATCTAATTTTTTTAGATTCTATTTCCGATTTTTTCTGAACAGTATTATGTACTGATAAAAAGTTGGAAAAAGTTTGCTTTTTTACGAATTAGCATCCCTAATTTAGAAAAAACTGGAACAATTATCAAGATAGATTTTAGTTTGTAGTTTCGTAAAATCTAAACTTTAGTTTTTGATCGTAAGAATTCGTGAAAAGGAAAGTGCTATCAGAATTTTATTTTAAAATGACTCATAATTATTAGTGCAGTTTATAGTTTATAGAAAATATGTTGTTAGGAGCCACTAAAAATATTAGTGCTGAGACAGCACTTAAGCTAAGAAAGAAGCAGTAATCATAGTTTTTATTATTCAGTCATCATCCCGATGAGCAGCTCATTTCACAGAAGGAACAAGATAAAGACAGTTGCAAACTTATGTCTCAACTGTTTTATGAACTTCCGAAACCTTTGAGATATGGAACCAGGTTGTTCAGTTCGTTCTATGCTTCATTTTCAATTTGTGTAAATTTGATTTCTGGCGTTTCAATTACCAGTGCCTAAATATTTGACAGTTCGGGACTGGTTTTTAGCATTTTCAATGACTTTTGAACATCTGTTTTCAAGATCTCATACCATCGTGCTGGTGAATGGTGTTGGTCGTTGTACATATTTTGAAAGAAGTCGAAAACAGCTAACTCCAGTATCTGATATTACTTGGGATGATACAACGCACTATTTTGATCTTGATGACTTATGAAGCTCCAGTAAGATCATTTTTATGGTTTCCAAAATCATATGAATTTAACCAAAAGTAAAGAGGATATGATGTTGCGAAACTTTTATGATTTTTATTTTATAAAAGTTCCAGGACATTTCCAACATATCATAGCTAAAGAAGTTCATATTTTTGTTGAACAATTAAAGACTTTTTTCAAAAAATTATTAATAAATGGTTCACTTTTCAGATTTATAGTATTTGCTTATGGCATTCACGTAATTTGGTTGTTTCATAAGCTGTTCTAATCAGTTTCGCACTTCGACTTTTTGTTGAATGGAAAAAGGGAGGGAATAGGAGGTATTATTTAAACATGAAATATTCTGAAAATGATGACATTAGTTTTGGTGTGAAAAATTTGCTTATTTTATTAGATTTTCGATGGAAAGAATGGTGACACTATATTCTTCAAATAATTTCATTTATTGAAGTTTATTGCAGAGATATTGTAAGATGGATTTTCGTCAATTCACTCCTCTTTTATCATGTAACTCCATTTTCTCTTCCATTCTTTTTATCTGGTCAATCATTGATTGTGATTCGATTAATTCATTAAAATTTCTTGATTTATTTCATTTTCAAATTCATAGAAATATGTATAAATGCTTTTGTTTCTTTCGTTGTTAAATGTATTTTTATTCCAAAATTAAAATTTCGGTGGAATTGTTGAGGGGCGTAATTGTACCATTTGATTGAATGATAGATCAATTAAAAATCTCAAACATTTTAACAATCTTCAAAAGGCAACACAATAGACTAAGTGGACGTAGCGGTGCTGAAAACATACAAATGTTCGAAGCTCCTCCTCAAATGTTATTCATTGAAGAATGCGATAATGCATGTTGCTGTCACATATTTAACAAAGATTATTATTATAATGTTTGTCAAATATTGGACGGAAGGTATCTATCGGATTTATTATATGTTATTCTTATTACAGTGGTATTTTTTGTCATGAACTTTTTTGTTTAAACATGAAGGGAAAAGTTCAATGTTTATGAGTCATCTGTTATGATATCGAAATTGCGGGTGTCGTTATCAACTCTTGCGGTATATATCCTCGTTTTTCCATTTGATTATCCTTGAAAGAAATCTGGTTTTTGGTTGGAATGTACGTTATAATTTTATTATCGCTATCTTCATTTCATCAATTATCAATTTAATTGATTTTTTGAATTCAATAAAACTCATTATTCATTAAAGCTTTGTAAAATTTATCATAATGCTAATGCAATCACTGACAATAATTTATTTTATTTTTTTATCCATGGTTTATTTTTTCTACAGTTGCAAATGTTTCATATTGGAGATATTGTCTGAAATAATTAATTCGTACTGTCATATATGAACAAATTTTTGTAATTAATTGATATTTGCAGTCTTGTTTTATGGTTGAAACTAAACTAAAATTACTATCTTATCTTGTCTATTATTTTCGATTGTTTTAAATGTGCATAACTTTTGTGTACATTGAGCATAATCCAAATGCTAAATATAAATTGATTCTGCTAAACAATCGTGATGAATTACTCAATCGGCCAACCAGTACTGCAAGATGGGAAAATGGCATTCTTGCTGGTAATTAACATGTACTAATGTTTACAAACATTAAATTTACCAAATTCTAGTTTTAGCTCTTTTTCAATGTCTCTAAAAATAGTAGGAG